AAACAATAACCATTGATAATTTCCTACCACTTTGTCTGTAATTTGGTAAGCCCCCCCATCATCATTATCCTTCTCTTACTCTTTAAAAAAAAAAAAATTTTTTTTTAAAAGACAGAATCCCCGGGCTAGCCTGCAAGTGTAGCTGTGTTAGATGCTTAGAATTCCCAGCTGTAGACCTTTCTATCTTTATGATTTTGTACTTTGAGATTCCAAAACTCACATTTTATGTGGGTAGATAGATAAGCAGAGTTTGGCAACAGACTGACCAAAACCTTTGCTCTGCTCTCTAGAAATTCCCAGTGTCTGATTCCAGATCCAGAGCAAGAGTCCACCGCGGGACTGCTGGGCTGTCGCAACTGCGCTTGTTATCTGAGATTGCGAAGGCGGTGCAGGGTGGGGGAACCTCGCTCTCCGTCCCGCTGGGCGCCCAGTTCTCAGCACTCAGTACTGTGTACATCATTTACTTTTATTCAGTGTCCTTCTTGGGGTTCACACCCTACTGTTTTAAAATACTCCCCATGGTATGATTTGAGGGGCACAGAGGGAACCCCCTTCCTCAAAAATCCCTTGTTAGCCAGGTATGGTGGCGCAGGCCTGTGATCCCAGCACTTGGGAGGCTGAGGCTGGAGGATTGCTGCCAGTTTGAGGCCAGCCTGGGCTATTTAATGAGCTCAAGGGCACCCTGAACTGTATAGCAAGATCTTGTCTCAAAGAAAACAAAAAGGAAAAAAGTCACTTTTCAACAACCAGTGGCTTAGGGCTTTGGGGACTAACAGGACTAACGGGGAGTCCCGCTGGGCGTAGCGTGAGGGCCCCCTTGGGAATTCCTCACGGGGCACCACTGTCAGGACATCTCTGCTTGGGGACAACAGAGAGTGGATGGGATTACACAAAAAGGGGCTGGAGCTCTGCCCCCCCCCCCCCGCCAGGGCTGAGCCCCGGAGTCACAAGGACCCCAGGACCCCCAGACGCTGAACTTGGGGACCCGGGCGCGCCTGGCGCTCTCATTTCTAACGCGCTCCCTGGCCCGAGGCAAGCTCCTGCTCTCTCAGGACGGCTCAGCCCTGAGGGACCAAGGTGCACAGTGGCTTAGAAGCCTGGCCGGGCCTCCAGCAACAAAGCGAGGAAGAAGGGGCTCAACATGGGTCACAGACCTCATTTTGCCAACGGCCTGAGGCTGTTTTGCGTTTTCGTTTGGTTTGCAGTACTGGGGATGGAACCCCTGTGCTGAGCTACATCGCCAGCCCTTTTTAATTTCTGATTTCGAGACAGGGTCTCCCTAAGCTGCTAAATTGTCGAGGCTGGGCTTGAAGTTGTGACCCTCCTGCCTCAGCCTCCCTGCGTGCTGGGACCTCAAGTGTGCGCCAGCACGGCCAGCCCCAGGCTGTTCTTTCTGGAGCAGAGAAGGGAGGGGGCTGGGAGCAGGTAGCAGGTGAGGGGCGTTGAAAACTTTATAGTTGACATCCACTAGGGCCGATTCCATAGTGCCATCTGGCCGCCTGGTTGCAGCGTCGGTGGGTCAGCGGGTGAAGCTTTTCTGTCTGTCCTGCAGCCCCGTGCGGGTCCCCGCGGGCATCTGCCTGGAGGCAAACAGTACGGGCCGGGCCATACAGGGGGGCCCTCGGTGGCTTCGCCCCCTATGCTCCCTGTATCTGGAGGGGAGGGCGGCAGGGCCGGGGGGGGGGTCCCATGCTGGCCACAGGCACGACGCCTTCCTTCTCACGGCTGTGCCCCTTCCCGGTTCCTCCCGGGATCGCTGACTGCGCGGGTCACTTCCGGCTCCGGAACCACGGCGTATGCGCCTGCGTGCCCCGCCTCCACCCGCTTGGGCCCCACCTTCTGGAGCTCCCTCTGGTCCTGTCGCACCCTCCGGGCCTGTTCTGCTCAACTCCTTAAGAGTGGCGCTGAGCTGGGCCTGGGAGCCCTCGACTGTGAGATCCTAGCACTCAGGAGGCTGAGGCAGGAGGATCTCTGTGAGTCTGAGGCCGGCCTGGCCTACATAGCGAGACCCTGTCTGAAAACAAAACAAAACAAAACCAAAAGAAGTTTTTAAGGTAAAGTGTTAGCGTTGGTAATTAATGTCTTTAAACTTGCTTTCCTGGGCTCCACGACTGGAGTGAAGGTCAAGTAGAATAAAGATGGGGGGCTGTCTTCCTGGGGTCCCAAGGGCTCTGCCTGAGCCTTTGCCTGGCAGGAGGCTGGTGTGGGGGATGCAGGCGGCGCGGTCTGCTCCTCCTCTGCGTAAGCGCCTGTCCCAGGCCACGCCTCAGTCCCCTCTGGAAGTGTTTAATGGCCTGTCACCGCCACTCCCGGGGGCTTTGCCCCCAGTAGCCTGCCCCAGGCGTACGAAAAATACTTAGCGAGGCCAGAGGTTACTCAGGCAGCTGCGTCTGGAGACCCTGGGGGTCACTGGGACCCCGGGGCAGTGACAGCCCTCAGAGTCGGGACAGCTGGCCTCCCACGTGTGGCCGGTGTCTCTAGCGCACCCCGTGAACCAGGGTTCAGCTGCACAGAGTTTTATACATACCGCACACGGGGTGACTGGAATCTCTCACTGCGGGCTGGCCCGTAAGCGGCAGCCGCTAAAACCAGGAGACAAACCGGGAGTCGGTTTAGAATCAGGCAGGGCTGCGAGGGAGTTGGAAGGAAGTCCGACTGCCCTCACCATTTCCTGCCCTGCTGCTTCTCCTGGGAACGGAGAGGCCAGGCTTGGGTTTCCAGAACTGCATCAGAAAAAGCTGCTGCGAGGGAGGGCACAGAGCCTGGTCGGGATTGGTGGGGTCGGGGGAGAGGGGACGCGGGGCAGACAGAGGCCGCTGGCGGCTGGCGGAGCCCAACCCTTTACAGCCTGCTCTCAGAAGCCATTCATCCAGCTGACAGGCGGTTAATAAAATAGCTGTGTCGAGTCCAGCGTGGTGGCGCACGCCTGTCATCCCAGCGCTAGGAAGGCTGAGGCAGGAGGATCACCAGGGGTTTGAGGCCAGCCTGAGTTACGTAGTGAGTTTAAGGCCAGCCTGGACTGCACTGTGAGGCCCTAGCTCAAAAGAAAGAAAGAGAGAGAGAAGCAGGGGAGAAAGAAAGAAAAAAAGCTGTGTCTTCCCTCCGTTCTTCGAGAGAGGCCTTCGTGATGACCTCGGAGGCGAGGCGCGCGTGCAGAATCGCCGGATTCCTCCGTGGCGTGGCCAGCGTGTCCTGGCCGCCAGCGGCCCAGCCTCCAGGCTCTGGCCGCCTCGCTCCCTCCTGGACCCACGAGGGCGTCCGGCGCACGGAGGCCGATGTCTCTCTGTCACATCCCCGTCCCGGCCCTTAGCAAAAGGGGCTTCGAGGACACCCTGGGGCCTGGCACGCACAGACCGGGCCGCAGACCACGTGTCCTCGGGGTGTGAGCCGGAGAAGGGGCCCCGACAGTGGTCTGCAAGAAGGGGGCGTGTTCCACCCTGACCTCCCTGTGGGCCGGGACCCCGCCTGCAGAGGGCGCTGTGCCGCCGGGATCCGAGACCCGGGCGGAGCCCAGGCAGGAGGGACGGTCCCGGGCTCCCCGGCGGTGGGAAGCGCAGGGTCACGTCGCCGGGTCACGTCGCCATGGAGAAGGGAGGTGGTGTGGTGTGGTGTGCACTGCCCTCCGTGTCCAGACACTCACCGATATCCGAGCCACACCAACTCCCGAGTCTTTAAAATACTCAAGTACGTGCCCTGGTTACGTCTCCTTCTGCGTACTAACTAGTCTTAGACGTTACAGTTCCTGGCAGGCATGAAATGGCTGATCGATCCCTGAGACCCTGGCTGAGTCTATCGCAGCGCACACATCAGACATTCACTAGCTCACGTGCGAGGCTGCATACAGTGTTTCAGATGTCAATTTAAACTCCGTGGTGGCGCACACCTGTAATGCCAGCACACAGAAGGCTGAGGCAGGAGGATCACAGTGAGACTGAAGCCACCGAGCTACATAGTGAGACCCTGTCTCAAAAACAAAACAAAAAACGAAAACAAAAATGACACTATGGACACACCACCTAGTGGCCATCTATTTAGCCTGGGGGGAAAAAGACCAAAATAAATCGGGGAGACCAGTGAATAGGCAAGAGTGGTGAGGTGCCCTGTCCCGCTGCACGGTCCTGGAGGGCGAGGGAAGTTGCCAGTCAGATTGTGGCTCCGTGCAGATGTTTCTCAGCTGCCAGGCCTTCAAAGATGCCATCAGCAAAGCCTAATCTGCATCCACGCTGTGGGCCGCAGCCCCTCCACCACCCTCCAGCACCCTCCACCACCGGTCCAGGTGTTTCGGCAGCGATCCGGGGGTTTGGCCGCGGTGCTCTGGACTCCCGGACTTCGGTCCGAGGTTCTGGGTCCAAGCATCTACACCAGTGCCACACCCTGTCCTCACAGCCGCTTCGGGGTTCCTGCATAGTCACTGAATCCGTTTTCCTCCCAACTCCCACAATTCACCTGCAAGGAAAACTTCAACGCCAACTTACCTTTTACCGAATTCGAATGGGGGAAGAGCGCGTAGACCCTTGCGTTAAGCCGGCCTGTTCGAAATAAACCTTGGATAAAGTGCAAGGTAGGTTCTTAAGAGTCTGCCGTGGTATGTTATGTTTTTCATGATGAAAAAGAGCATTGCTTTTTTTTGCAAAGTACAGCGAGCATGACAATAATGAGCAAAGTACAGACTGCAAATGAGATTTTGCAATTTTTAATGAAGCAATCGTGTGCAAACTCTTTTTTTTTCTCCTTCTCTTTAACATTAGGAGGAAAGAAACTGACCACACTAGCGGCCTGGCGGGAAGCCAGAAAATGCTCTCTCTTTCCAAGCAGATTTCGAAGCAGCGGAGTTGGAGGCGGCGCCGGCCCTCAGTACTCGTCGGGGTAGCTGCAGTGCAGGTCGCGCAGGTAGGAGTCGATGATGTTGGGAGGCACGCCCTGCAGTAGCAGCCTGCAGAAGGACAGCCCGCCTGCGGGCGGAGGGGCGGGTCAGAGCCGCGCGCAGGGCCCGGGCGCGCCTCCCGAGCCAGCTGCCTGGAGACCTCCACGCAGCCCGCAGCCGCAAGGCTTCACCCGCCCCTGCCTGAAGCCTTCCCCGGCTCCAGCACATCTGGAATCTACAGCAGCTGGCATCCGCACAGGAAAGCGAATTCCCAGCGGACCCGTGGCAGTGGTTCCCCTGCCGCTGTTCAATCTTCGGTTCCTAAGTGGTGGCCAATGCCCCCACCCTGGGGGAGGGTTTGGGGTTCCTCTCGAGCTGATTTAAAGGTCCTGCCTGCACTGCAAAATGCGCGCTTGGGACGGGTCCGCGGGAAGGCGTGTTTCCAGTTGCTAATGCTCTTGCTAATCAAGCATGAGACGTTCCAGCTCAAGCACACTGGACAAGAAAAACACAAAATGCTTCGCTTTAACGCTGACCATTTACACACTGTCGAAAATGCAAGAGTTGGAACTACTTGGTTAAAAATACAAAAGCAGGCCCAGTACCTTAGGAAGGCGAGAGAAATGCCACTGATATTTCACACCTACCTTCTGAGTTGCTGAATTACATTTAAAAACTTAAAATATCATTCAAGAGAGAACCCATGAGACCACAAAATGGCACGGTCTACTTAATAAAGTGCTTTACTACTTGCTAAAAAACTCATAACCAGACAAAAACAGCATGCTATTCGAACATTCTTAACATGTCTTGAATGCAGATGAGAAAATCATTCTCCTTTAAGGAAAAAAGGAGCCCAAGTCACATATTGCTAGAAACGATGCCGTGTACGTCCATTCCTTGATGCAAGGGGTTCAGAGTGCGGGGAGCATTCATCCCGAGCTACATTAGGTGCTTTCATCCCCGCTCTACCGCATTCCACAACTTGCTTTGCATCACACGGAGACGGCTGCGACCCATGCAGGAGAGCTAGCTGTTAATGTCAAGATTCGGAAATACAAATTAAAACTATGCAGTTAGCGGCTTAAAAGGAGGAGTCTATTTTCATTGGATTCCGTAATGAAAATCATGCCATACTCCACAGGCTTGGTATGGCTTATGACAACCATAAGCTTCATATGCCAAACCATATGAAAGCTTACCTTAGATGACAAATACACTCAAACATCCTTACTGTGCTACAACTAAGGGGGGAGAGAGAGAGAGAGAGAGAGAGAGAGAGAGAGAAAAGTTATGAGCATTAATGGTGCTGACACCAAAGTCGGGTAACTCATGGGAGGAGATTACGGTCACGATTATGACGAGGCAGTTTCATTAATCCTTAGTCATGTGAAAGATGTAGGGGGGTGAAGCTTATGGAATAGAGGGCGGGGTCCAGTCACTTCAAGAGGATCATTAATACATAAACAGTGATTAATATGCACAACCACTTCGCCAGAAGAGGTGGCAAAGCCGGTCGGGTGGTACAGGAAAGCTGATAGGTGAGAGCTTCCAAACCATTAGTTGGAAAGGATCGAGCCCCTACAACATATATATATTGTGTTTTTCAACAAAAGAAAAACATAGGCAATGGACAAAATGTTAGTGTTCATATATATATGTTGAACTTCCAAAAGGCAAAATTATCAAGTATAAAAATTAGGTGAGTGTACGCTGTCATATTCTAGTCTCAACTGATTGTGTATAGATGACCTGAATAAACTCCGCTGAAACTTAGACGGCAAAGTGACTCTGCATGTAACCTCCACAACTTTAAAGAAAAAGCTCTGATCTTTTCACAGCTGACACCACCTACGGAAATCGAGACGACTGTTATAAACGCAGGGACAGACTGCATTAGAGTTCGCATCGGATGGCTAACCTCGCCCCCACTAACTTGTTTTTCCAAATGGCACGAACCGTACGTCTGTAATAGGATTAGGGTCCCTTATTGCTTAACACGTTTTGTAGTGGCTTGTGGTTTTCCTTCCTTTCAGATTCATCAACATGAGATCATTTGGGCCCCTGGTACTATCGAGCTGATCCGAGTTATTGATCTTCCGTTGGGGAATCTGTCACTGGAAGATCTTACCTAGGAGGGTTTCCAAAACTTGGATCTGCTTTTGTATTCTCTTCGCATCAAAGACACATGGGACACTTTTTCCTACAATTTAGTGAAGTTAAAATGTTCCATTCTCTGAATCTCATCATGAACCTATGGGAAGGATTCTGTAAAACTGTCCTACAGAACAAACACATCCTTCTACCTCGGAAAAAGGAGGATATTCAGTGAACGTCATTGATTCTAAAGTCTTGGTGGTCTTATTCTACAGAAGGAGAACGTCTTGCAGTGCAGTTTTCTGACTTTCTTTTGGGTGGCAGGTAGTTTTCGGGCCAGCCTTCCTGTTTCTACGTTACCTAGGATCCTTGGATAATTTGGCCTTCCTCATTCATGGCATAAACACCGTATGCCATGAGCTGCTGAGAAACAAGGTTAAAAGCAAATGAGAAAAGTCAAGCTTCACATGCAAAGTGCGTTTTCATTGAAAAGGAATGGAACAGAGAGTAGAAATATCCGGTGGGATGGGAACTTTTTAAACCTGTTGCTGCCCCGCCAGCAGGACCGGTTGTCCAGGGGTATTTACTCCTTGATATATCACTGCAGAATTAGAATATTTGTACTGGTATTTATTTATTCTCAGTAGATTCTTACCTTTTTTTCTAAACACAGTTTAACTTGATTCAAGTTACTTATCATCAAGTAATCTGATGAGAACAGTTCCAACTTTACTTTTAAGACCCAAAGCTATACCAACATAATCACAGCCGAGACCTTTCCATGAACTTATATGTTAGAATACATTCTTCTTATCAAATTCAACTGCTATGCAGTAATTGAATTACAACTATTGACTAGAATGTAACATCTATATGGATAACATTATTTGCTTTTATGGAAGACCCTAATATGAAAGCCACATATGAAAGCGTAATTTTACATCCTTAGCAACATTCAGTAATTTCCAAAGCACAAATAAATGGTAATTGTTTTATTGTTTAGGGAGTATTGGAACTTAAGTATCAACAAGATAGAACTAGTAAGGATAGGAGTTTAGAAACCAGATGATTTGCAAATAGGACTTTCACTGTCATTTAAATTTGATAAAGCTGCTAAAAATAATATTTAAATTTGTAAGGTCTATCTCAGTAGCAAGTTTTGAAATTTTCTAATATATGCTTTATACTTATAAGACAGAAGTAAAATTTTTCTTCTCACTCAGTTATGGATCTACTGTAGACTGTGGACAGAAAGAATACTGCTGCTTTTTTTTTTTTTTTTTTTTTTGAGACAGGGTCTCGCTGTGCAGTTCAGACTGGCCTTGAGCTCACTTTGTAGCCCAGGCTGGTCTCAAACTTGCTGCAATCCTCCTGCCTCAGCCTCCCGAGTGCTGGGATTACAGGTATGTGCTTTTCAGAAGTTATGAAAGGAAGTTACTTTGGTCAAGAAGCTCCTTGCATCACATTTTTAAAAATGACTGAAAGACTCTTAAAAAAATACCTGAAGCCTTCACTATGATTTTCTAAACTAGGTATTTACGAAGTCACCTTTCTTCATGGCAGAGAGGTAGAGAAAATGAAGATTGGTGATCCTAGACTAGCAATATAATAAACACGAGAGAAGACACACTGGGCTCTTGTCACCTCTGGGCTCATAGTGATTTTCTTAGGGGTTCTCCTGGTGTCCCCCGGTGAGTTTTGATTATCAAGAAAATCTTCAGAATGAAAATTATAGTCAGTTAAGATGAAACTTAAGATCACAGTTTATGCTGAGATTTTTCTACCACATAAATCCTTATGTGTTTTCTTGATTTATATTAGTTGCCACATCTTTTTTTTTAAGACAGGGTCTCACTATTTAGTTCAGGCTGGCCTTGAGCTCGCAGTGATCCTCCTGCCTCAGCCTCCCAAGTACTGGGATTAGAGACATGTGCCACCACACCTAGCTGTTGTCACATTTGTTAAGACTAATATAAATGAAATATATATAAATAGAAGGGCCTTAGCAATTTTACAACAACTGGTTACAGTGTGTGTGTGTGTGTGTGTGTGTGTGTGTGTGTTTATGCTACATTCATTTCTTTTCTTCCTGCAGCACTGAGGCCTTCACACTGGGCTACATCCCCAGACCTGTTTATTATCATTATTTTTAATTTTGAGACAAGGTCTCACAAAAGTTGCTAATTTGCCCAGGCTTGGCTGGAACTTAGGATGCTCCTGCCTCAGCCTCCCAGCCACTGGGAGTACAGGCGTATACCACCATGCCCGGTGTGTATGCTGCATTCCATGTGTGTAATATCAAACACCCAATCAGCAAACTTATGCATATCTGTATCTATCTATAGACCCATGAAAGTTCACAGGTTTGTAAACTAAAAATAGTGTGAATTCCCAAACTGCAGTGTCATTAGATGAGTTTTTGCTGCAGGCTTTTCTTTGCAGGTGAACTGCATCACCAGAGTCATTCTTACTCAATTTTTTGACCAATTTTGCATGTCTATATCTGGGACTCTGAACGTCTAATTTGAAGACAACAATATGCAGTCTAACACCCATTGGTGAAGTCCTACCATCTTGTTTAGTGAAGCTCTGTATTGTTTCTAATTTTTTATATTATTTTTTATTCTCTTTAATGGATTGATCAAGCTTGCATTTTTACATCTGGTAATCTGAGCAACTTCATTGAAGATAACAATATGTAATGTAACAACCACTGTTAATTCCTATCATTCTGTTTTGAAACCTTGTATCATTTTTATTGTTTTTGTGTTGTTTTGTTGTTTCCTTTTTTTAAAATTCTCTTTAAAATAAAAAAAGAATCCCTTCATTCACATGCATGGAAAAATAAGTGGACCGAAATAATCTAGTCATCTTTCACAAAGTGGAGTGGGTCGGAATGTAAAACTGTCTTTTCCCCGAATTCCCTCCCGCTTCTCTCGGCAGCAGCACCACCGCCGAAGACGAGCGCTTGTTTGTTTTTTATTTTGGGACAGGGTCTCCCTGTGTAGCTCAGGCTGGCCTAGAACCTGCGGCGAGCCTCCTGCCTCAGCTTCCTGAGCGCTGGGATGACAGGCGTGCGCCCCTGCCTGGCTGTAGGCAAGCGCTCTGGCCACGCCTGTGGCGCTGCATTAGGCCCCGCAGGAAGAGCGCCCCCGCGCGGCCGCGCAGCCGTACCTTTCACTTCCAGCTTGCACTCGATCTCCACCGCGCCCAGCTCGTTGACGGCCTTGCAGCAGTAGGTGCCCCCGTCGTAGGGGCTGGGCTTGCGGATCTCCAGGGTGCACACGCCCTGGTTGCTGAACATCCGGTACCTTGGGTCATCCACGATTGCAACTTTGTTTTTCATCCAGGTTATTTTGGGCTGAAGTTCAGATTGAACAAGATTAGGTCAGGGTCACCCCCAAGGAGCACATTAAGGTGGCGGCCAAGCCCCCTACTGACCGCATCGGACCACAGGGCTCAGACAGAAAGCAACCCGGGCCGAGGAGACTGACTCCCGCGCTGCCGCTCCCAAATTAACCCCACCTAGGGCTTGGGAAGAAAGCAAAGGAGTTGTGAAGACGAAGAGCGGGTTTGTTCAGTGGACAACGAGGGCGACCTTCCTAGCGGGATCCAGAGGGCGGGCACAAGCTTCTGAGTATCATGTCCCCCGCTGGGGGGGTCGGATGGGCCGGAGGAGGGGCAGATGCAGCGGACCGTGCCCTGGTGCTCCTTGGATATATACAGGCTTTGTCAATCACAGGTTTTTTAATTTAAAAAGTGAATCCACAGGTCTGTGGCGTGCAGCACCCCCAGGGCTGGGCTTTTCCGGGCCTTTTACCGGGGCGCGTTGTTTAATTTAAACGCTCAACCTCGCTGCCACTTTGCATCCACTCTGAGCATGACGCTGCGACCCCGTCCACCTTGCCTGCGGAGGTGGCACCGTGGGACCTCTGGCTCCGGCCCAAAGTCGCAATGACCGGGGGAAGGGAAACGACTGGAATCGGTTCCGGGTCGAGGCAGCATCACTGAAGACCCCAGGAGAGAGGACGCGGGGCCGGGAGGGCGGGGGGCGCGTGCAGAGCGCAGGGGACCGCGCGGGGACGGGGTGTCACCGCAGCGCGGTGCTCCGCGTCTAAACACGCGTGTTCCGATCCCGCTCTGGCGTCCAGCGCCGGGCGCCTGGCCCCGTCCCCGCTGAGCTGCCCCTGGTTCCTGGTGTCCCCCCGGCATCACTTGCTCGGCTCCAACCCCAGCCTCTTCCCTGTCCTTCGTGCAGGGCGCAGCCCTGGCCTCACTCCTCATCACCGCGCCGAGCGGACGCCTCACGCAGGGCCGTGCGGGGCCACAGAGAGCCCGGCCGCCCCAGCTCCCCGCCTCGGCCTCGGGGCTTCCTCGGGGCACGGCCCACTGACACCCCTGGTTCCCCCGGCGCCTCCTGGGGCCTGTGGCCGCCAGTCACTCACTCACCGCTGTCCTAGCAGCTGCGACAGGGGACCTCACGCCCCGAAGCCCTCACCCGGCCCGATCCGGCCGCAGCGGAGGCCTCGGTGACATCAGAACTGCAGCCACACCGGCCACCGACCGGGTGAGGCCACCTCCCGCCTGACCTCCCGGGAAGCGGTACCGCTTCCATTTCCTGCCCTGTCAGTTCTTTCAGAATTAGATGGTTTTCTTTTTCCCTAGACTCGATCCCTTAGTGACTTCAGAAATAAGAGCATTTTTTGCTTTTACTTATGTTTTTGAACAGAATGGACATAACGACACCAGCACCGCACCTTCCACACCTGCCGGCCTAGGGAGCAGAGCTGGCCACGGAAGGTCCCACTGTGTTACCACAGGCCAACGCAGCATGACGGGCCAGGACAGGGGCTCTCGGGCTGGTTCTTTTCTGGTTTTGTTTTGTTTTGTTTTGTTGAGACAGGGTCTTGCTATGTAGCCCGGGCTGGCCTCAAACTCATTGTGATCCTCCTGCCTCAGCATCCCGAGTGCTAGGATCACAGGTGTGCACCATCAGCTACCACACCCGGCTTGGGGTTGGTTCTTTTTTTTTTTTCTTTTTAATTTTTTTTTTATTATTTTCTCTTTTAGTACTGGAAATCGAACTCATGGCCTCGTGCTTGCCAGGCAGGCACTGCCCTGCTGAGCTACATCCACAGCCCCTTTTTTGTCTTTTTGAGACACGGTCTCACTATGCAGTTCAGGCTGGCCTTGCGCTCACTGTGTAGCACAGGCTGGTCTCAAACTTACAGTGATCCCCCTGCTTCAGCCTCCCGAGCGCTGGGATTACAGGCATGCGCCACCACGCCTGGCCTAGGTTGGTTCTTAAACTCAGCCAATGCGACAGGGAGCCACGTACCTTGGGGTTCCCCCTGACGCTGCAGTTCAGGGTGGCGTTGTACCCCGCGATGGCATAGGTGTTCACCAGGGGCTGTGTGAACATCGGTGCCTCTGTAAAGTCGAAGTCTTCGTACACGGGGTTTTTGTAGATTTTACCTTAAAGACAAGTATTTGCGTATGTTGGAAGGTGGCTTCTTGGGACAATGGACAGTGCGCTGAGCTTCCAGAGGCCCAAGGCATTCAAGTGCACTGGAAAAGCGAGCTGGCCTGAGACGTGCTGTCCGGGGGAATCTCTTCCCAAGGAATCTCTGGACCTCAGAGAACGCAAGCGAACGCCTGACCCATGCACATTCGCAAGTGCAATGCGCACAGCCAGTCACACGCGAGACAGGAAGTGGGGGTGGCTCACGCTCAAACAGGTATTAAGAAGACTTTGGTGTTTCTCTGAGTATTTTATTTTATTTATTATAAAAAATGTTTTATCATGGTATTGGGCATTGAATGCAGGGCTTTTACTCTGAGCTACACCTCCAGCCTTTTTCTTTCTTCTGAGACAGAGTCTCACTATGTAGCTCAGGCTGGCCTTGAACTCACTATGTAGTCCATGCTGGTTTTGAATGTGCAGGAATACTCCTGCCTCAGCCTCCCAAGTGATACTACAGGTGTGCACCACCACATCTGGCTCGATACTATTTCAACTGGAAATTTGTTCTAATGTGAAATCACACGGAGGGGCTACTGCAGGAGAGTGGCTGACAGCCAACTCTGAAGATGAAGCTAGAAGCCAGCTTCTCCTTCAGCTGCAGAGACGGCTCCCTGCGTGGTTTCTCTGAGGCTACCCGGCAGTAAGAACAACAGAAATCCCAGAAGTGAACGTCTGCCCCGGCGATGTTAGCCCTCTTAGATGCAGGGCCCAGAAACTGGAATGAGTTAAAGCTTATGTTTGCAGGTATAAAAACTGTAATCCCCAGGGGCTGGGGATTTAGCTCAGCGGCAAAGCGCCTGCCTGGCAAGCACAAAGTCGTGAGTTCGGTTCCGGTACTGGAGAAAAAAAAAAAAAACAAAAACAAAAAACTGTAATGACAGCCAGCCATGGAGGCACATGCCTATAACCCCAGCACTCAGGAGGCTGAGGCAGGAGGATTTCCAAGAGTTCAAGGCCAGCCTGGGCTACACAGCAAGACACCATCTCAAAAAACTTTTTTAGCCGGTGATATCGCTCAGCATATGCTGCTTGGCAAGCATAATGCTGTGAGTTCGATTCCCAGTACCAAAAAAAAACTTTTTAAAAATTAATTAATTAAACAATAAAAGCCTCAAGGTGAATGCCACTGCCTTCGCGAACACGGCTCATGAGGTGACAGTGCTCTCTGAGCGCCGTGCCGTTCCCCCCTCCCCCACCGCGGCCCCGCCCCCCAGCCTCCCCGCCCGCCGCTCACCGTCCTTGGCGATCACGGCGCTCTCCTTGGTCATGGTCGCGTCCTCGCTGAGCCCGCACATGTTCTCCGAGAAAACCCGGAAGTAGTACTCGTTCCCGATGACCAGCTCCGTGATGGTGGCGCTGGTTCGGTGGTAGTGCTCGATGACGGTGAACCACTCCTGAGAAGAGGAGGTAAGGCTAATCGTTTGAGGAAATAAAAATACACGTGACCCTCCTGCCTCAGCCTCCCGAGTGCGGGGATCTCAGGTGTGCACCGCCACACGGGGCTGGGATTCCAGGGCTACTGTGTGGTTCGAGGGTCCTCCCTTCCCGGCCCGCCCTTCGCCTCTCCACACCCCCATGGGCTCCTCCAGAGCCTCCCAGGCCACCCTTGGGAGCCTGGCGACCGGCAGGAAGCCGCCCACCATGCTCTTCCTGTCGGCCTTCTGGATGGTGTAGCCGGTGATGGCAGCGTTGCCGTCATCTTTGGGCGGCGTCCACGTCAGGGCCACGTTCTCCCCCCACACGTCTTCTATCTTCACAGTCTGCGGTGGCCCTGGACGGTCTACGGGAGGGAGGCGGGCATCAGTGTGGGGCCGCTGTCTCTCCTCCGAGCGCCCCTGGGACCCACACCCTCCGCTCTGCTGGGGTGGGCCAGGTGCGTCCCCAACAGGCTTGGGTGACCCAGGGCAGCGGGACCTCCCGGGGAACAGGAACAAGGCTAGGCTCAAGGGCAGGACCTTTCACCCCAGAGGGACTCCCAGAGGGCGCGGGCCCTTTGCTTAGGGAGCCTCAGGTTTCAGCAGATTTACTGAAAAATTACACCAAAAACAACTGGAGACAGCGTTCCCTGCAACATGGCCCTCACAGTCCTTTCTTCCTCCTCCTCTGCCTGCTCCTCCTTCTCCTTCTTCTTTTTTTTTCTTTTGAGATGGGGTCTTGCTCTGTAATGCAGCCTGGCCTTGAACTATGTAGCCCAGGCTACCCTTGAACTCATAGCCATCTTCCTGCCTCAGCCTCCTGAATGCTGGGATTATGGACAGGTGCCACCACACCCAGCTAGTTAAAATTTACTTTGAAATGCTAACACGTATTACTAATTTGCTGATTTTTTCTTCAGTCTCAAGGGATCTTACACAGCACCATCCTAGCTGCGCTCCTGCGCCCCCTTGGGGACGAAGGACCGTTGGTGGCCACCCCACGGGAGAGGCAGCCCTGCTTCGGGCCCAGACCCACCGACGATCTGGATGTCGATGGACGCGGTCTCCGTGAATTTTTCCACCTTGACCTGCAGGTCGTATTTCCCGGAGTGGCTGCGCTCCGCCTTCCTGATGAAGATGATGGTGTCCGTCTCCGAGTTGCGGATGTTGATTTGATTCTTGTCGATCTCCTTCCCGTCCTTCTTCCAGCTCAGCTCTGGTCTTGGTTTTCCCTAAAAAGAAAGACACAGAGGGTAGCGGGAGAACGCAGCCTGCCTGAGACTTCCCCGCCCCGGCCCCGCTGCACGTCCGGGTGACCCCGTGATTTCCCCAGCTCGGGCCCCGCGGAAGGAGGTCTGCAGTCTCCTCGGCCGGGCCCCAAAGCCTGCACGACCACGACAGTGGCCCAGGGATGGGCGCTGAGCCCTGGAATCCTGATCTGGAGCCTGACCACCGTGAGACCTGAGCAAATCACTTACGCGCCCCGTGCCTCAGTGTCCCCGGCTGTACTCCGGGAAAGGCGGCAGTACCTGCCTCAGAGTGGCTATCAGCACGCAGGGCCTAGCTCTGACTGCCCTGGCGGCAGACCCCAGTCCTGAAGAGGAGCCGTCCTGGCCCCCGCGGGCCCGGTTCGGTCTCTGGGACCCAGGGAGGTCCTAGAACTCCCGGGCACCCGGCAGACGGGGACCCAGCGTGGATTCAGGGATTCGGCCCGCGGTTCCCTGCAGGGCCTCCCAGGCCTGGACACGCCGCTGTGGCCTGTGTGATGGGCGTGTGGTGAGTGCTGGGCCCCGACCCCGGTTGGGGCGTGCGGGCTCGCACGCGGGCACAGGGACGATGCTGGGGAGGCGGAGCAGCCGCTCGTGTGACTGTGTCAGGATCGCGCTGGTGTTGCCTCTTCCCGGAGCCACGTCAGACTGCAGACTCCGGCCTGGCTGCACCTCCCAGGAGCCTGGGTCTGAACAGATCTGTGTGTGTGTGTGTGTGTGTGAGAGGTATCAGTGTGTGGAGATCAACGCCCATCACGGTAAGCAGAGCCCGGTTAATCGTGGGAGCCGTGAACAGGGCGTGTTTCCGTGGCCGTGTGCAGACACCCCGGTGGGGCGCCCCCTCCTGCCGGGCTTGGGCTTGGTCTGGGGTCACCGCGGGAGCCAGGCACACACTGTCCTTCACATACACGCCCAGCTTCACTCAGCGCGCCCGGCACCAGCGGTCGCCGGCTCCAGGGAGACGGGGCGTCCGCACCTGGCTTCTCTCCCGCTCCTCTCTCGCCCCCTGATAGTCCCTGAGCTTCAGGTGAACCTAGAGCTCGTCTGTCTCACGCGGAAGAAACCCCGACCCGGCATACATCTCTCTACTTGTCTAGCCTGAGGCAGTTCACTCCCCCCTGGTCTCTTCTGTTTTTATCTCTGTCTCGGAGGGGTCCGGCGCACTACGGCGTTAACTCCTGTCACACCCCGCTTGTCTCTGTGACAGCCCAGGCCCTGCGGTGAGGTACCTGGTAAGGGATAACCAGGTTGACGGCTTCTCCCACTCTGCGGATGTAGGTTTGCTTCAGGTGCCTCGGGATGCGGATTTTTGGAGGCTCTGGGGAAAAGCAGAAGAGCACAACTTTGCCGTCAGCAGGTCGTGCCGGAAGCGGCCCTGCCTGAGGACAGCGGCGCGGTGCTCACAGCCCGTCCTGGCGGTCTCCCTGTGCCGCCTCGGCGGTGCCAGCCACAGCCTGTTCGGTGGCATCTCGGTCCAAACCGCTTGCTTCCCGCAGAGGTGTTTGGAGGGATGCCCAGAGTCTACCCGTGATCACCCTGACTGCACTGCAACTTTGTGTATTTATTTATGGCAATTAGATACTTAATACAGGTTTATAGAAAACCACGTTTTTCATTATCCCAACAGTAAGAATATCCATCAGTGGACATCCCACAAAAGATCTACAGGCACCTCGTTTGCGGGCTTGTTAGATAGCACGCACGTTGTTAAGCAAATAACATGGGTTAATTTATTCGATTCTCACAATATCTTGATGTGGCAACTATTATTATCATTGCTATTTTGCAGATGAAGATATTAGGACTTAAAAAAATCACATCTGTCATCCAAGGTCACATTGTCAATAGATGATAGAAAAAGGATTAAGCCTACATAGTATCTCCAGAATCTATTAAGAAAGTATGTACACTTTATGCTTTCTTGCATCTAGCCATTTATCCATCTATCCCTCCATCCACCCATCCATCTGTACTTGCATCATCCCTCCATCCATCCATCCTCGCATCATCCCTCCATCCATCCATCCTTGCATCCATCCTTCCATCCATCCATCCATCCATCCATCCATCCTTCCATCCATCCACCCATCCTTGCATCCATCTATCCATCCTTGCATCCATCCATCCACCTATCCTTGCATCCATCCATCCATCCATCCTTGCATCCATCTATCCATCCTTGCATCCATCCTTCCATCCATCCATCCCTCCATCCATCTTTGCATCCATCCATCCTTCCATCCATCCATCCATCCTTCCATCCATCCATCC